AAGGTCTTTTCGGATGTAGATTTTTTCTGTTGAAGCAGCACAGTTGGAAGATTTTTCTCTTGATACTTCAATGGGTTTTCTTTCACACTGAACAGCTACAAAAATATGTTAAATTATTATAACATGAATTTATAGGGAACTGAAAATGTAGATTCTAGGTTAGCAATGCAGCTAATGGGAAGCATATTTAACTTAATTGACTAGATAATGATCAACCTTTAGAATTATTTGCAAATTCAACAAAGTTGCTTCAGAATAGTAAAGCTAGCCAATCTGCACCTTACTTTGAAAGCCAGAAGAACTTAGACTTTTGTGAAAGTTCAGTGTCCTGAAAGATGAAGTTAGGAGAGTTTACATGCACACCCCCAAAAACAGCACCTGTGTGTGTGTGTGTGTGTTAAAAAATGAACTGAAATTTAATCAACTGAACAGGTGCTTTGTAGTAAGTCACAAAAAGATCAAAAGTAGGTATATTTTTAGCTAAAGGAAAGGAAACTTGTGAGACATTACTCAGTTGCTTGGCTTTCCTTTATAAAGTATAGATAATGTTTTATTTTATAGGAATTTTTATTTCAAGATAATTATTGCTGTTGTTAAGTGCTGTCAATTTGGTTCTGACTCATAGTGACCCTATAATAGAGTTTTTGAGGAATGGCTGGTAAGTTTGAACCACTGACCTTTTGATTTAAACTGACAATCAAATGCTTATCCTATAGTACCACAAGAGATACTTATTAGGAGACAGTAAATACTGTGTAGTTGTTAAATATGCACTTTCTGAAAAATAAAATAATAACGTGCCAGGATTCACTAAAATGCAAGTTGAGCCATTTATTAGTTGTGTGACCCTGGGTAAGTTATTGTCTCTGTTTACTAAAGAGTAAAATGACAACATTATCAACTGTGTAGAACTGTGAGAATAAATCAGTTAGTACAATGCTTTGATGGTTTGACGATGTCAGGCAATTGAGAATTCAGTGTTAGCTACTATTCCCTTATTAAAAAATAGATCACTTAAAGTACTCATTTATTTATTTTGCTGAGTACAAACTACAAATATATGCTTGGCACATATACTATTAATAAATACTTGCTGAGTTAATAAAAATTACACATATAAATGTTGTCTGCTATTGTTAGGTTCCAACCCCTAGCAACCCTGCATAGGATTGCCAAGGCTGCTTATCTTTATAGGAGCAGAAAGCTTTCTCCCACAGAGCATCTGGTAGATATGAACTGTCAACCTTGGGGTTAGCAGTCCAGTGTTTATCCTACAACACTATCAGAGCTCCACATAAATATGTTTAGTTGGAAAACAGTAAATTAAAAATTTACATATTTTCATGTATTAATACAGTTGCTTGAATCCTTAAAGGCATTTTCTCCCTTAAAATAATACATACAGTCTTGCTTCATTCCAAACGCAATACATCTCTGTAACCTGCAGTATTGACAGCGGTTTCGATGATGTTTATTGATAATACAGTCCTTTGATCCT